AGAACAGCCACTTCTGCCCTTTCAGACTGAAGAAGCCGCAGTTCTGCCCACTCAGAAGCTTCACAAAAGCTTAAGGTACATTGAAGCTCTGCCAGAATCAACCTTTGGTATGATTTGTAATTGAAAACCGGGCAGTCAGAGTTGTCAACGGTCCAGTCCAGCTCAGGCATTTCCAGTCCAGCCCATAACAGAGCCTCCCATCCAGGCAGAAATGGAGATCCAGCTATCTTTTTATCTTTTTTAGCATTGTTGTAAAAGGCAGTTCTGCCTAAAAACAGTTTAAATTCCATCAACCATTCTGGCCAGAACAACCTCTTTATACTGAGATAAATTGTTAAAGTCCTCACCAGTCTGAGGCAAGAAAAGAACTTACTTGGGAGATATTCCTCACCCAAATTCACAATCGTTTGTTTGCAGAAATCAGTAACTTGGGGCGCAAGTTATCCATTCCAAACTAAGTCTGCTAGAATTTTTATTACTAGCAGTGGCACGCTCGCACACCAAAGAAAGCTGACTTGTTGACTAGTCTATGGTTCTCAAGGCAGTAGGGAACTTTGCCCTTCCATCATAGGAGTAAACCAAAACGGGTGAACACAAACTAGTCGAAGGGAAAAGAGTACCGCATGCATATAATGCTCCCCCAGATGACGACAAACTTGAATATTTGAAGATACAACACAAATGATATTGATATCTCATTTTCATCTTCTTCTCCTTAGGGTTCTTCTTTTCTATCTTCTCCACAAGTTATTCTCTTCATTCTTCTCCAAGTATCCATCTCTCTCTCATACTCTCTCCAATATGCTTCTTCTCTCTTCTTCTATCTTCTATCTTCTATCTTCTCTTTCTTTATATATTTCCTCTTTTATTAAATTTATGTGATATAGTAATTCAACATTGCGGGAATCTTTAGCAAAGCAAAGTAATTACATGGTTGAATTATTTATTTGTCTGCATTCTTTCATTGTAGTCTCTGGTTTTTTTTTTGGGGTATGTTTGAGTCTTTCGTTATTTGTCTGCATTGTTGTGAATGAGTGGATTTAAACTTGAGAAGCAACTGTCAATAGCAACTGTCTTTTCATATGAATCTTACCAAAAAAAAATTTTATGTCATTTCAATTTCAATTTCCACTTAAATTGTCAAAGAATTTTCTTTAAAAAAAATAGTTTGATCCGATGTTATCCGTAACAACACCAAACACAGCATAATTTAGTTAGATTGTTTATCTGAAACAGCACCAAAAGCCTTATAATATTATGGATAAACAGTTAGTACTCTCCGGAACAGATTAATACTATCCGACAAAATTTAGTTAGTACAGTCTGACATACCAAACAAGCCCCTATAGTAGAAATGATAGTTTTTTTTTTTTTTTTTTCTTATCAAGGAAAAGGGGATTCAAACTTAGAACATCTTCCAACTTTGGGAAGAAGTAATGCTAGACAAACAGCTGGTTAGTTACAATAGTAATAACCATTTTTTTTTTTTTTTATAATCAAAGAGAAATTTTATTAGATAAACTTTAACAATATAAGCAAAAACATCAAAATGAAAAGAAAAATGCACAAACACAAAGTCAAAAGACGCATGTACTAACTAAAACCCAAATCTCTCAACAACAAAAAAACTAATGCCCAAATCCAAATTAGAAGTAATAATTTAACAATAAATGACTGCACTTTCTAACAATTTGATGATCACCTAGCGGACAAAGTCCATGTTAACTCCCCGTTGGAACTAATTGGGATCAAATTTTCTTGGACAGCACCTACGTGCATTTCTTGTGGGTATAGAAAAGGTCTGAGAGGCATTTTTAGGCTTTCACCATCTCCTCCAAGCATTTCTATAACTTTATTCATCGAAGGGCGATCAATTGGCTTCATTTGAATACACCACAATGCAGTTATAACCATCTTTTTTATTACTTTCTTTTCCTCCTCGTTAACATCTCTCATCTCCAAGTCATCATTTCCCTTGTTATATTGATCGTACGCCCATAATGGGAAGTAGATTTGGTTTGAATGCTCTACCATTGTACTCCAATTCTTCCTTCTACTTGCCATTTCCATAAGCAACATTCCAAAACTATAGACATCGGCTTTGTACGAGACACCTCCAATATTTTTGTAGAACAACTCAGGAGCAATATAGCCCATTGTTCCCCTTGCTGCCGTCAAAGAGACAATGCTATTATCTATGGGATATAATTTCGCAAGCCCAAAGTCAGAAATCTTAGGGTTAAAGTTCTCATCAAGAAGAATGTTATGAGGCTTAATATCAAAATGTAGAATTTGCATGTCACACCCTTGATGCAGATATTCATTGTGAAGTCTTGCCCGTTACCTTTGGCCTTGCCCAAGAGTTTAATTGCTACAAAACGGCCACTACGCAACTTCCCTTTGAATACAGAGCCATAACCACCTTCACCTAACTTCTTCTTAAATTTACTGGTCATCTTTTTAATTTCTGAGTAAGAGTACCTTATTGGCAAAAAGTTGCTATCACTTTGTAGAAAATCTTCTATGATGCTATAACTCGACAAATGCCTTCTTCGCCATTTATAAATCACGAACGCAATCACACATGGACCCCCAAAAATTAGTCTTGCTGTTAAAAATAAGCCTGACAAGAGATATATATCACCAAAAAGAATCATGAGAAAACAAATTTATTGGTTAGATCAAGTAATGCTTTCAACATTTTTCTTGTTTTGTTTCAGAAATATGTATTCTTTGATGTCATTCAAGGGTAATATATACAAGCCCTTACCGAAGCAAATGAGTATCAACCATATAAGTCCTGCAAGAAATATAGCAAAAGTGGGGACAAAATCAAAGACTTGACTATAGGTTTTCGAAAAGTGTCATGAACAAAATCAAAGAATCGATTATATGCAAGAAATACAAGATCTTACTGATGCTTGAGAACGGAAAAAACCATCGATCTGCAAGAATACAACAACAAATGTAAGTAAAAACAAAGACTTGACTAAGTTTGAATTGACCTTTTTTTAAATTTATTTTTAATAACAAGTTCATTAGTATCCAATCACAAGTGTCGTGATGTAATTGCACAAGAAAAAAGGAGGAAAAGAAAAAGAAATAAAAGAACCTTTTGGGGAGAAAGTCCTTACCAGGGGTTATGCGTTCACGAGAAACGAGAACTACAATGACCAAAAAAAAAGACAAACAAAAAAGAAACAACATTAGCACATCAGATCATTACAATTTGAAATACCTCTATCCCAACCACAAATTGCATCTTAGATCATGGAGAAATTGTTTTGGTATGTATTATTTTGAGCAATATTCTCTTACAATATTTATGTTATCAAATTGTGAATATGGACACTTATGAAAGAATCAAATTTATATCCGAAATTCATAGTCTAACAAGATAAGCTGTTTATATTGTCATACAATTTAGAAAGAGAATTACATCTTATTTTAAACTTTAATTGAGGGTTTTGATATAATATTTGGTATTACATTTTTCGGTGGAATCAAGCCTAAAGTGAATTGGAACATGGGATTTCATAAGTCCAAAAGTCTAAAGGAAGCTGACCACATACCTAATTGAAACAAAATAAGGTGCAACAGTATTAACAAGTTGAGATAATAGTTTGTGCATGAGAGGTAGCCCCTTAACATTTATGATGTATCTCATTCAATTATTTTTGTTTTGTTTTTGAGAACATCTCATTCAATGTTATTAAAAGTATCTTCAATCCGTGACAAGCTCCTTTTGTCCTAGGTTCATTTTGCACTAAAAAAATAGAAAATAACATATAGCTAGATAGAGAGAGAGCCTTTACCGTAAATAACCTCGCTTAGCAATCGAAAGAAACCTACACGAACAAAGAAGATAAATATTAGCACACCAAGTCCTTAAACTTAAGGATTAATTACATTTTCCATTCTTGTGGTTTGATATGTGTACAATTTGCCTGTGTCTTTTAAAAATTGACAAAAACGACCTTAAAGTTATCAATTGGTACACCATTTGCCCCTCTGTGTTTGAAACTAGTTGCTATTTTTTGACCTTATACTTGGTTAGTCTATATTTTACATATATTAGAAGGCTATGATTTTCTTTAAATAAACTCTTTATTTGTTGTCCCAATGACATACGGTGAACCTGGCTCTATGCAAGCAAAACATAAGCCCCAAGCCAACTGCTATACCAAAAAGCAAAGTTTAACTTGAGGGTGTGTAGTGACTAATGATGTAAGAATTCTTAATTTAGGGTTTTTTATGCTAATTTTTTAAAAGATTGTCGTTCTGCTTTTATTATTTTTCTTGAAATTTGTTACAACATCTTAACCCAAGGAAAAAAGATTTACCAAGGACTTCCTCTGTACCTGTTAGATTGATTATCTAGTATTATCCAGTGAGAACTTTGTCATGTGGTGTAAGTTATCTATAATCAAAATTTCATAACACATTTAATTATGAGGTATCGCAAGGGGTTTGTAACTCAAGTAATTAAGAATATTTATCCTTGAATTTTAGGTCCTAAATTCGATTCCTCCTCATTCTCATGTCATTTGTATAAATAAATAAAAAATTTATAAAAAAAAGAAGAAGATGAAGAAGGTACTACTCCTATGGTAACTGAGTTGTATGCCATATGTTTTGGCTTGCAATTTAAACATATTTTGGTGTGCAAAGGGTGGGTTCGGAATTTGATAGATAGATGTCGGATGAAGGTGTGTTACCGGATGAGATTGGATTGATATACATTAAAGTGTATTTGAATCTCACTTTCCAAACTCATTTCGTTTTATCTCATTTTTTCTGGATTCCAAAGAGGCCAACAATTTCTGATCAAAATATTAAATAATAAGATTAAATATTTAAAACATAATATAGTAGAAAAACCTAGGAAACTAAACACCTAAACCCTAGCCACCACCATCCCAACACCCTGCCTTTTTCTGGTTCTTCGCCCAACGTATCAAATCAAACGAAGAAAATCATATTCCAAGAAATAAAATCAGAAAACCAAACCAAGTAATCAAAAGAATCATATCAAAAATCAACCCACAAAACCAAATCATACCCAACCATTATTCAACCACCCAACTTCCTCTAAACACTCAACGCTAGTTTCACCAGAGTCCCCACCCCCAGTTAAACTACAATATCCTTCCAACCACCATCGAAGCCACCCCCATCCAGTACCTCATCCCATCACCCCAAACCTACCCAAGATTAATCTCCCCATCCAAACCCCCACTGTGGTAACTAATGAAAATCAATCAAAAAATTGAAAATTGATTATCCCTCAAACTCTAATACTGAATTGAAAATTTTTAATTGGAACTCTGAGGGTGGCAGAACTGACATTATTGAAGGAAGGGGAGGGGTTATTTTAGTCGGAAGGGTATAATGAGGGCTTAAAGTGAGGAGGTTATTTGAGGAGGTCAAATCTCACCATCAACAAATGTAAAGAAATCATGGGACTTAAACATTTTAAATGTTTTGACGGTCGGATCGGTCTCCTCAAATAACCTCCTCACTTTAACTCCTCATTGTAAAAGCTCCTTATTTTAGTAAAGGAGAACTGTCCAAGTCATTGGCCTTGGCCCACAGGGAGAGTGGGACCAATCTCATTTAAGGAGAGACTAAAATGGGCTAAGACCCAAATTGCTTTTGGCAAACACTATGTCACGGATTGGGCTGTAACGGGTCCACTGGAGAGGAGGCAGAGAGAGGAGACTTTGGGCCTCACAAATGAGATTGCTTTAGAGCCAACTTTTAATAGCCCTTTTGATACTATTTCTGCCTCTACATACCAAAACCACCATCAAAAAGTTGGTGAGGCTTTTGTCAGGATGGGGCTTAAAAGAGATGCTGATCCAGGTGGCAAAAGAGTAAGAATGATTTTAAAAGGGCAAAGCCTCGAAGAGAGGGGCAAGCGACAAGGAAAAATCAAGCAAGAAACCAAAGATTGCGGAGGAATTTCTCAAGCTCAAGGAAGCCAAAGCACGCAGTGGAATCAAAGAGGTTCTCTCAAGGGAACTTCTCTGAGGAGGGATTAACTGATATCCATGTTGGCGTGGCCGATGAGCTGGGTGAGGGACGCTTTCTGAGACGAGAAGATGAGTCTATTGATTTGGAAAAGGGCGGTGACGGCTGGCCTGCAACAGCCGCAAGACCGTTATGAGTTACTTATCTTGGAATTGTCAGGGGCTTGGGTCGGACCTGACAATTCGATCTCTAAAGGAGATCATAAAAAGAAACATACCCTCTATTGTGTGCCTTATGGAAGCAAAAGCGAAACACGATAGACTGAAAAAGATTAGTCAAGAGATGGGATTTCCTGACAGCTTCTGTGTGGACCCGCTTGGTCAGGCTGGTGGTTTGGGACTCTGGTGGGAAAATAGTGTGGAGGTTCAGATTCTGTATTTTTCCAAATCTTTAATTGACACTGAGGTAAAGGATAAAGGCGGGGAAAAAGTTTGGCGGATCTCTTGGATATATGGTACCCCCTATAAAGAGGAGAAGAGTGATTTCTGGATATGGATCAGTAATTGTTTGACTCCTGAAGTGCTTCCATGGTTGTGTATTGGGGATTTTAATGAGATAATTTGGGATTTTGAAAAAAAAGGGGGAAGGGCCTTTAATCACAACAGTAGAAGATATCTCCAGGAGTTTATGAATCAGAAGCAGTTAATGGACATGGGGTTTCAAGGGTAGGCGTATACTTGGAAAGGCCGCAGGGCAGAAGGGGTGTTGATCCAGGAACGTCTTGATAGAGGACTGATTAATTCAAACTGGCAGGAGACTTGGCCAAGTTCTGTTGCTATCCACCTCCCGAGTGTGGGATCAGATCATTGTCCAATTCTGGTTTTAACTGAAGGAAGACATGAAAAGGTGCCTCGTCCTTTTAAATTTGAAGCTCACTAGGCCACAGACCTAGAATGTGGAGATGTGGTTCGACGAAGCTGGAATATGAGTATTAGGGGGGGTGTTGAGACATGTTGGAGTAAAAAACAAAAAAGATGCAGATATGAGATATGGAAATGGAGCAGAGGTAAATATCCAAATGCTAGGGAGAAAGCTGATAGGCTTTTGCATGAGCTTGAGTTGTTACAACAGGACTGGGAAGAAAATGAAAAAAGAATGAGCAGATTAATGGTGAGCTTAATGAAACTTGGAGGCAAGAGGAGAATTTCTGGAGACAAAGATCGAGGATTCAATGGCTGAAGGCTGGAGACTCCAATACTGCATTTTCCATCATAGCACTCTCCAGCGAAGGAGGAGAAACAGAGTTAGCAGGATTAAAGGCGTGAATGGTGTCTGGGGGGAAAATGCTAGCCAAGTTCGATCGGTTTTTGAAGATTACTTTAAAGGCCTCTTCTCAGCTGGGGGTAGGAGAGATTGGGGTGATGTTCTGGCCTTTATATCACCTGTGATAACGGATCAGATGAATGTCAACCTATGCAACCTCCTGTCAGATGAAGAGATAAAGGAGGCTGCTTTCCAGTTGGGAGCAAACAAGGCGCCGGGCCCTGATGGTTTTTCTGGAATTTTCTACCATAATTATTGGGAAACAATTGGAGGGGATTTATGTAAGTTGGTCAAAGGATTTTTCAAGGGGGATTCTTCGATTCACATTTTAAACATGACAGAGATTGGTTTAATTCTAAAAGTCCCAAACCCAGAAGCTGTTACTCAATTCCGACCTATAGCTTTATATAAAGTGATGGCCTTCCCTGTCCTCCACAAAGCTAAGGTTTTTTTTGCCCAGTTAGGAGCTGACGCTCGTCTTCTGGGGCGGCGTCATAGGTTTCTTCCTAGCTGGTTGGTGACTTTTTGAGTTAGGCTCAGTCTGGTGTAGTCGGCCTCTGTGGTTTCTTTTGTATCGTTCCCCAGGTTTTACTTTTGTTAGCCTGGGTTGCTGTTTGTTTTTTTTAGTTGTGCTGTCCTTTGGGTGTAGTTGGGCTGTGGCCCTTTCTTTCCCTTTCGTTAATGAAAGTGTGATCGACCAAAAAAAGAAAGTAAAGTGATCAAATTGGACACATTTGACAAAAAGTAACAGAAGTTGGACATATTTGACAAAAATTCCAAGTTATCTTTGAATTGCTCGAAATAAAAACTATATGGACACAATTGATCAAATTGAAATTTAAGAATTAAAGGGACTTTTTACAATTAAAAAATAAGCCATTTAATGGATTCGGATCCTCTGCTTTGATTTTCTGTGCTATGATCTGCTTTACTTTTGTTCTCCACATGCCACCTCATTAAAATTTAATCTAAGGGGCTTAAATTGGACACATCTTCCTTAAAATAAAATTTCAATTTACTCCTAATTAAAAATGAAAAAAACCCTAACTTGACTAACGCCTAAACTTAACGGCTGTAGCAGTTTTTTTTTTCTCTTCTTCTTCCTTCTCTACACGTCTCCCCCCACCCCCAAATCTTATCGCTCATCATTCTTTTTTGTGTCCAATCTTAGAACACAAAAACATTATTACCAAGAAAAGTATATGAACATAATAAGAATCATCTGAGTCCTTTTGCTTTTGATTAATTTATAAACAAATTCATCTACCACTTTCGTATTCTTTTGCTTCTGATCTTTACTTTTTTTTTTTTTCCTATGAGGCTATGTCTGCAACCCCCATCACCTCAAACAATGAATATGGAATAATTTTTTTTCTTTTGATATGGGAAAGAGAAGAGGGATTATGATTACAGAGGTTTTGGGGAAAAGAAATCTCAGTGAGAGGTAAGATTTTTGGGGAAAGAAGACGAAAAAATAAGAGAAGACAGAACGTGAAGCAGGAAGAAGGAGAAGATTAAAGAAGACTAGGAACGCTAACTTTCCCGTTAGTTGGATTAGGGAATTTTTTTTATGAAAAAATTAGAAGTAAATGAGTTTTTTATTTTTAGGATGATGTGTCAACTTTTAAGTCCCTTAGATTAAATTTTAATGAGATGGCATGTGGAGAACAAAAGTAAAGCAGATTATAACAGAGAAAATCAAAGCAGAGGATCCGGATCCCCATTTAATTATTTGACAAAAACTAAAAAGTTAGTACTTTCTTTATTGTCCTGCTTATAGTGGCTTGCATTGTAGGTGTTCGACGAAACTCCCAAACCAAAGTCACCTTTGTTTACCCGCGTAATCTGATGTGTTAATTTATAAATGTTGATCGAGGAGTATGAGGTGTTAATTTATTTTATGTTGATGGTTGTTGACAAATTTTTCTTGTTGGGTGAGGTGCATCAGGTATCTTTTGTCAATTGAAAATTTTAAAATTTAAGTTCAGGAGTAAAAGATGCATAAATTCAGAAATTTCAGTTTATTTCTCTCTTAAGTGGTAAAGTTGAAAAGCCGAATTAAATCTAACTAAGAACTTCAATTTTGGTACTTTAGTTTAAAGTAAATCGTTTTCTTGTCAGACTGTCTGACACTTATTTGATACATTGCCAAATGTGCGAATAAGAATCATTTGTCGTGTTTATTCTTTCTTAAATGTGTAATTTAGATTCATGACTTGACAACACAAGTATTTTTCTGATATTACTAGTCTGACTAGAGAACGTAAAGAGAAGTCTGCATCCCCCTAACTTCCTTCTATGCACTATCATAAACTAAAAGTGCAACAAATTAGACATAGTCAAAAGCCATGGCCTAGAATTCACGTACCTGGGATGGTGTGTGGAAAACATTTAAAATTTGTACTCCATTGGCCTTGGCATCTTTCATCAGGCCAATAAAATCTGAGGTCAAAGCCATACATGAGGGCACTGTGTATGTATTCATAAGAGGTATTGTAGTCAGAGTAGTTGAAGAGCGCCAAAGTCACCCACTCTGCACTGCAACCCTCATTCAAATCCCCCACTTCCATAGACCCAACCTTCACATAACTGTACGTCTTTTGTTGGACCAAAGAAGAAGCATTTATATTCAAGCATGGAGCAGTGTCCACATACAGAGAAGAATTCACTGGATTCGAACACTTGATGTAAAATACAGGTGTCGAAAGCCATTCAGATGCATCATATGGAACTTCTGATGTTAAAGATGGTGATAAATTTTGAGGCATGGAGGAGCAATTGTTTTTCTGGAGGCCAGGATCTACGAGTCGGATTGTTAGGTTGTCGTAGTTGATTGCCTGGACATAGTATTTTCCTGAAGGAGGTAGGTCTACAAGTGTAATGTTGTTCTCACAGGACAGATTATACATTACATTGCCGCAGTGCTTTGGATCATGTTCTAGTCGGAAAGGATAGCTTATCTTGTGGATATTGCCGCAGGAAGAGGTACAGTTAGTACCGTCGTCTTTCGCGATACAAGTTTCTCCGGATAACCCAACAACAAGTGCTACCATCAAAACCCACCTGGACAAGGCCAAGAACCTGTTTCCCATTGGGGGAGAGAGAGAGAGAGAGAGAGAGAGAGAGAGAGAGAGGGGTTGTTTGGCATTCAAATTAGCTTAATATTTAAACAGTTTCTTATAAGAGTTTCGCCGAATATTTACAGTTCCTATAGGATAACATTTGAAAAATATCAAAAGAAAAGTCATGCAGCCTAGGTAAGCCATGACGTTAGAGAGTCAGTCAAATGGTCGACATATGTTCATTGAAAATTTTATTGACTTCTTGAAAATTTATTTACTGTAAAAGCGCCAAGATTGTTTCCGATTTCTTGTGAATGGTCGATTGAGCAAGGTCAATTTATTGCTGTACTCGACATATCTATCCAAATACATCTGCTCAGGAAAAAATCCAGTGCCACTTTAGCTCAGAAATGCAGCGATTCCTCATCTCTTGCCTTTGCATACTGTATATGGTTTTCGTCAAAGCGGTTGAAGCAGGACAAGATACGTGCACAGAATCCAAGTGCAGTGACGATCATGGCCTGGCTATCCATTTCCCGCTCCACGTCAGACATCATTGTGGTGATCCTAGGCTTGAATGCAGTGGTAGACAGGAGAAGGTTCTTGAGGAGCAAGTAGCACTAATAAAATTCTTTGTCAAAAGCATAGATTACAAGCGTGGGCTAATCGACGTATATAACACAGATGGCTGCCTGCTGTTAAAGCCCTTAGAAACCCCTAACATTCCAATCTCCCGCTTCCACTTATTGGATTCCTACATATTGGCTACAGAGTTTACGGCGTTTCTTCTGATTCTAAATTGTTTTTGAGCCTCCCAGACCTACAGTCTTGTACAAGGATGTATGACGTTTTATCAGTTCCATTTCCGACTTGGGATAGAGGTTACAGATATATTCTTCGCTTTAAATGGTCTAAGCCAAATTGCACGGAATGTGAAGCGAGGGGCAAGAGTTGTAGATTGAAGGACAATGGCATCAACAGTGAAGTTGAATGTGTTCACTTGAAGAAAGCAAGTAAGGATTTTTTCACATATGTTCTGCTCAATTTTTTAGAGTTTCCAAAGTAAATCATATTTGCAAACATGATGACCAAATGATAATCTGGTAACTGCTGGTTCAGGGTGATTTTCACAAACATGACGATCTGATTTTGAAATTATGTTTATGTTTTATAGGCAAAACAATGGAATTCGTGGCAACGGGTGAGTTATCTAAGACTGGTCTTTTCTTTTGCTTTGTTTCATGTCAAGAAGAAGTTGGAAGATATGTGTTTGCTCAAGGATTGTATTTACTTGCAGGTGCAACGCTGGGTTCATCCCTTCTTTTAGTGCTGGTCATTGCAGTGTATCGTGTCTATAGCGCTGATCAAAAGGAAAGTTGCTGTGAAAGTACTTAACAATTCTAAGGGAAATGGGGAAGAGTTCGTAAACGAAGTGGGAATGATGGGCCACATCCACCACGTGAACGTAGTTCGCTTGGTTGGCTTTTGTGCTGATGGATTTAGACGAGCTCTTGTTTATGAGTTCTTCCCCAATGGTTCGCTGCAGGATTTCATTTCATCAGCGGATAGTAAGAACAGTTTCCTTGGTTGGGAAAAGTTGCATGATATTGCTGTAGGCATAGCCAAAGGAATTGAATATCTTCACCAGGGGTGTGATCAACGAATCCTCCATTTTGATATCAAACCCCATAATGTTTTGCTAGACCACAACTTCACTCCAAAAATTTCTGATTTTGGTTTGGCCAAATTGTGTTCCAAGGATCAAAGTATAGTGTCAATGACTACAGCTAGAGGCACCATGGGATACATTGCACCTGAAGTGTTCTCTAGGAATTTCGGAATTGTGTCTTACAAGTCAGATGTCTATAGTTTTGGAATGTTGTTGCTAGAGATGGTAGGAGGAAAGAAGAATATTGGTTCAAGCACAAAGGACGCAAATGAAATTTACTACCCAGAATGGATCTATAATCTTCTAGAAGGAGGAGATGACCTACGAATCCATATTGGAGATGACGGAGATGGTAAAATCCCGAAGACACTTGCAATTGTAGGGCTCTGGTGCATCCAGTGGCACCCGGTGGATCGTCCGTCTATGCAAATAGTGGTTCATATGTTAGGAGGAGGAGATAACTTGGCCATGCCTCCTAATCCTTTTGTCTCTGCAGGTCCTACAACAACACATGCAAGCATCCCAGCAAGACGCGTAGAGTTAGAAGCAATTCCTGAATTAGAGTAAAATGTCTAAGTACATGTATACGCACCAATGTAAGTAATATTAACTACATATGTGCTCGAACTTGTTGAACATGTAATAATTCTGGCCTAAATTGGGGGAGTTGGATATTAGATACTTTATTCAAGGGACATAAGTTATTTCATTATTATTATTATTATTATTATTATTATTATTATTATAAGAAGAAGTTGGAAGATATGTGTTTGCTCAAGGATTGTATTTACTTGCAGGTGCAACGCTGGGTTCATCCCTTCTTTTAGTACTGGTCATTGCAGTGTATCGTGTCTATAGCGCTGATCAAAAGGAGAAAGAGAATCAACTGAAAATTGAAAGATTTTTAGAGGATTACAAAGCTCTCAAGCCAAGCAGATATTCATATGCAGATATTAAGAGGATCACAAATCAATTCAAGGACAATTTGGGCCAAGGAGCCTATGGAACTGTTTTTAAAGGAAAGCTTTCTTCTGAATTCTTTGTTGCTGTGAAAGTACTTAACAATTCTAAGGGAAATGGGGAAGAGTTCGTAAACGAAGTGGGAATGATGGGCCACATCCACCACGTGAACGTAGTTCGCTTGGTTGGCTTTTGTGCTGATGGATTTAGACGAGCTCTTGTTTATGAGTTCTTCCCCAATGGTTCGCTGCAGGATTTCATTTCATCAGCGGATAGTAAACACAGTTTCCTCGGTTGGGAAAAGTTGCATGATATTGCTGTAGGCATAGCCAAAGGAATTGAATATCTTCACCAGGGATGTGATCTAAGAATCCTCCATTTTGATATCAAACCCCATAATGTTTTGCTAGACCACAACTTCACTCCAAAAATTTCTGATTTTGGTTTGGCCAAATTGTGTTCCAAGGATCAAAGTATAGTGTCAATGACTACAGCTAGAGGCACCATGGGATACATTGCACCTGAAGTGTTCTCTAGGAATTTCGGAATTGTGTCTTACAAGTCAGATGTCTATAGTTTTGGAATGTTGTTGCTAGAGATGGTAGGAGGAAGGAAGAATATTGGTTCAAGCACAAAGGACGCAAATGAAATTTACTACCCAGAATGGATCTATAATCTTCTAGAAGGAGGAGATGACCTACGAATTCATATTGGAGATGACGGAGATGGTAAAATCCCGAAGACACTTGCAATTGTAGGGCTCTGGTGCATCCAGTGGCACCCGGTGGATCGTCCGTCTATGCAAATAGTGGTTCATATGTTAGGAGGAGGAGATAACTTGGCCATGCCTCCTAATCCTTTTGTCTCTGCAGGTCCTACAACAACACATGCAAGCATCCCAGCAAGACGCGTAGAGTTAGAAGCAATTCCTGAATTAGAGTAAAATGTATAAGTATATGTATACGCACCAATGTAAGTAATATTAACTACATATGTGCTCGAACTTGTTGAACATGTAATAAATCTAAAATGTCCCTTCTAATTCTAGTCTAAATTGGGGGAGTTGGATATTAGATACTTTATTCAAGGGACATAAGTGATTTCATTATTATTATTATTATTATTATTTTGGTTGAAAATTTGGGAATCTTATCCTTTGTAAATCAGTTGGTAATAAAAAGTTATTATACAAGTTGGTGTCCGTTGCATATTGATACTTTTTTCATTTTCAATCGACCAATAGAAAGGTGGTCTCCATAACTCTTATACTCTTTAAGATACCCGAAAAGGTAATTAGAGCATTCCCATTGGAGAAAAACTTCATTAGAGAGAGCCTAGCCATGTAGCAGATTGACTGGCAGGTTATACCAAGTTAAATGAAATGTATATTTTAGAAAGTACATGTCACTAATGTGGCCGTAAGGTAAGGAATTCCCTACCCAAGTTTTTCTCTTCCAATTGATTTTAAGATACCAAAAAATTTCGAAACAACTAGGCTCCAACAACGTTAATGGAGACCAAACTAAGTATTCGGCAAAACTTTCTTATTTAAAGAAAAAATATACTTTGAGGTTGGAGATCATAAATCTTGAATGATTTGGAAAAGGTAAAGTCGCACTGTTAAAGAGTTCGGGTTACTCAAGACTCCTTCAAAATCAGTCCAGAGCCAACAAAAAAAGATATCATATCAGTTGCTTTCCAAAAAATTTGGAGTTTTCCTTTACGTCTAAATTGGATGGGAATTGGGGACTGGGGACGCATGCATTGAAATTTCAACAATTGGAGAAAAAAATAATAATATTAAAAAAAAAAATCTCACCTCGTGGATGCTAAGTTGAACATTGATGTCAGAAAGTCAATCAACGGACAACAGTGCCATTGGCTTGATGTCAGAAAGTCTTTCAAGTTCTTAGAAAAATGAGGAGTAAAAGTTGAGTTGAAATTAAAAATAAGGCGTAAAAGTTGGGATAATGTAATTCTTAGTTGACAAGAATCGGGGACACATGCATTGAAATTTTAACAATTGGAAAGAAAAAGAAAAAGAAAAGAAAAAACAAATCTCACTTCACAGAAAATTCGGAAAAAAACAAGGAGCTTACTTTTAAAGTCTTCAGTGGGAAAGTTCAAATGGACCACTGGTGTTAGAAGTCGACTTGTAATGCTAATGCCACATGCAAAATGTAGAATTAGTGGCTTGAATTATTTAGATCTTAAATGGAGAATTCGTCGAAATTAAAACGTTTTGAAGTTAAGTGTTCCACTACTTTTTAAGTTAAAATGTCGAATTAGTGACTTCAATTATAAGCAATCTTGAATGGGGACTTTGCCCTAATTAAAATGTTTTGAAGTTAAGTGTCTCACTACTTTTCAAGTCAAAATGTAGAATTAGTTACTTCAATTATTTGGATCTTAAATGGGAACTTCGCCGTGATCAAAATGT